GAATTTCTTTGTTCCAGCCCTCTCCCCTCCTGCCTGGCCCTGCCTTCTAAAGGTTCAAGACTGGTAAGAATCACACTCCTTTCCTTCAGGGGCCAGGGCTGAGGCGAGGGCGGGACCCAAGCACCCTCCACTGAAAGCCATGCCCCTCCCCCCACCCCCCTCAACTCCTAGTACCCAGGCTGTAGATGCAGTGGTTTCTCACAGCATTGACGGCAGAACTCCCCTTTTGGCAAAAGATGACCCAACCACATCAAAATGTTGAAACTGAGGGCCACCCACCTCCATTGCACCAAGTGTATCTTTGGCCTACGCTCTGTGGGGGCTACCAGGGGCCTTAGACAGGAGAAGAGGTATATGTGGGTGCCCTGTGTAGAGGGGTAGAGTTATGGCTTGGGTTCATTGAGGGTCTGCAAAAAGGCCCATGCTCTGGGCATGGCCACTGCTGGCCAGGTGCCTGGGATGGGGAAGGCCACCAAGCAGTTAGTGGTCCATGCACAGCTGTCTAGCTCAAAGCCCAGCTGTGAGGTGTCACCTTTAGAATAAGAAGCCAAGGGCAAGGATAAGTACCGGGGCCTGCAATGACAAGCTGGGTGTCCACCTACGAGCAAAGGCTAGCCCCCACTAAGAAGTGTGTCCCGATGTGTAAGCTACACATCCTAATGACTGATTGCACCAACCCCACTGGCCTCCAGCAATCTAATGGCTGGCTGTATGGGCTATGATGTGTTTCATGATGGTATATTTCAAGGTGACGGAAAATAACGAGCCTAGGACTTCTACTGTTGGATACACAACAGGGAAAAGGTACATGTACACGTGTACATACAGGCAAAACTAGAGAGAGGGTTGGTCAGTTAAGAACAATGGTTGCTGTTCCAGAGTACCCCGGTTCAATCCTCAGCACCTACATGGCGGCTCACAACCATTTGTAGCTCCAGCAGGGGATGCAATGCCCCTTAGCAACTTCATTCCCATGCACAGACATACATGTGGCAAAAATGTCCACACATGGAAGTAAACTAAAAATAAATATGTCTTAAGTGAACTCAGTAGGCTGTATATATGTAACAATAATAACGAAAGAAGAGATTGTGAATTTGGGGGGAACAGGAGGGGAGTTGATAGGGGGAGGGGCAGGAATGGTGTAGGGACAGTGTTCACGTGTAAAGCTCCTCTACAGAGAGAGAAAGAGATAGAGAGAGAGAAGGAGGAATGAGTTGGTGTTACAGGAAAGCATACGAAGAGCCACGGGTTTCTGTAGAAAGAATCGATTAAATGCAAAGGGGGGACATGCTATAAAATTCTAGCCCTTCCCCCCAAAAAACAACAACAACAACAAAGCCCTTGAAAATGAAGAGGTAAGAAGGGAAATTACCTCACCTCTGGAACCTCTGGAACCTCTGGAAGTACAAGTTTGGGGACAGAGGATGCAGCGAAACTTCCAGGGGTCTGGAATGTTTCATGGCTGGTAGCTCCATGGGTACATAAAAACTCACCATGCTGTAAACCACGGTCACACGTCAGCTAAATACATGCATTGTTTCATCAATCGTTGTGTCCCATAAAGCTGCCAATATAACAAAGACTGGCATGTCCCAGCTATGGGCCGTCAGCCAGGTGTGGCTAACAAAGACTGAGCCATGCTTCCGAGAAAACACCAGGGGAGGTGTCTGAGAGCCTCTGGGTCAGGTCTTCCAGACTCCCGCTGCTGCTCACCACTGACTCGGGACCGTAGCACTAGAACTCAGGTGTGGACCACTCGCATAGGACACAGTGTGGCCTTTCTGAGCTTATGCCTGGGGCCACTTTAATGGTGAGATCACCAATATGAAGCACAAAAATGAACAATCATGCCTTACATAGAGGGAGAAAATGTCTACCTGTCCATTGGTGACCCCAACTTTCTCGATGCATGCACGTCTGTGGAGCTCTGCAAATGTACTTCCAGTATTGATCTTAGGGCTGTAGATCCATTTCAATGAGTAGGCATATTCACAAACACAGATTCTGCAGTTCTGAGATGCTCTCATGTGTTGTGTAATATCCAAGCAAGGAGGATGGAGGCCTTGCCTGAGCTGAGCCAAGCCGCTGGCTAACCAACCTGCACACTGTCCCTTTTCAAAGCAGATCTTTAGTCCTTGCTCCAAGGGTCAGGGATGAGCCCTCTACGGTGTCTACCTCCTACAGACCCGCACTTAGGGACTTTCAGAGCATCCACGCAGACACACAGGAGGAAGGGCGGATGCACAGGGCTGCCATGAGGTGTGTGAGGCAGAGCTCATACCGAGGGTGTGGACCTGGGGTCAGAACCAATGAAGGTAACTGGTCTGGTTCTTGTCTCGGTCAGGACTCCTGTTCAAGGTGGGTATGGAGATAAGGGGCAGGTGGGTATTATGTGGGTATGTGCCTTCACTTACTTCATTCTACAGCAGCATCAGAAGGCATCTCAGGGCACCCAGGAGGAAGAGAAAAGAACCCGTTTCAAAGGCAAAAAGATGAAAAGCATTCCAGGAACAGATGATGGAGGAAATGAAACCCAAACCTAGGGGTTGCTTGGGGTCCCAGGGTCAAGTGTCCCCTCTGGGCCTTCCAGGGGTTACCTGCTGCACCCGCTGTTTGTCTGGCCCTTGGACACCCTGTCAACTGTGCCACCCAGTGGGAAGACTTCTCTTTGGAAACACCCACGCCTGCTTGCTTTGTTCCCAGTGAAGCATAAGCTGGCAGTGCCGAGGTCTGCTCCTGCCTTGTTCCAATCACAGCGAGTCTCTGATCCCTGATGAGGCAGTAGTGAGCTCTCCTCAGGCCAAGGCCCTGGCCTGTCAGCATGGGGGCACACTCTCAGCGTGGGCAGGTGTGTGGGCCACTGCCGGGGTGTACTGTTGGCACAGGGCGTGGGTGGCTAGTGCGTACTTACGTGTCTGTGGGCATCCAGTGCCAAATGTGAGAAAGATGTGTGCACTTCAGCTGCTAGGAGAGACTCACCCCCAGATGTGTGCTGTCCACAGCTAGGGCTTCTAGAAATAAATTCCTAAGGTCATGTAGGGCCCAGTGCGTTGGGCATGGGCAGAGAAGAAAATTCTGAGGCCACTTTGATCTTCCTCTTAACCCCTGGGTACAGAAAGAGACCATAGGATGGGGTTGGGGTGTCTGGTGATGCAGAGGGTAGTAGTGGATCAGGGGGGGGGAGGAGAGAGGGAGAGAGGGAGGGAGAGGGAGGGAGAGGGAGGGAGAGGGCCAGGGAGAGGGAGGGAGAGGGCCAGGGAGAGCAAATATTGTGGCACAAGCCTGTAATCCTATTACTTCCCAAGCCAGGAGAAACAAGATTTCTAGGTTACATGGTACAACAACTCAATAATAATAATAATAATAATAATAATAATAATAATAATAATAATAATGGAAATGTGAAGGGGCTGAGAATATCAGTAATCAGGGAAGGTGTTGTCCCTGAAACTGAGATTTCCCTGCTCTGGCCTGACAGCCCAAGCTGAGATCCAAGGGGAAGCCCCGCCCCTGTCCCCCCCAATATCCTCACCCCCAGCATCCATAGCCACAAAATGCCGGATCTCTGACCCTTCACCCAGCTACCCTCTATCTGCTTTGCCCTCTTCGCCCTGCTCTGGCCTCTTGTGGCCTGACCTGACCTTGAGGCACAGCTCCAATGGGCCCTGGAATATAATCCTGTCCTTGGGTCCAGCCAGCCCACTCAGGGAATGAGAGGCCCACAAGAAGAGGCCAGTGCACACTGCGTCTGCTAAGGGGGTTTGGGGGTGGGAGGGAGGGAAGGTCGGGGATAGGGTGGCTCTCTACCTCTATGGGGGCTACTGCAGAAGGTCCTGGAAAGATGGCCCAGTTCCCCCACACAGCCTCTGGGGGTGGCTCAGGTAGATGAGAGACGGTGGTCAGGCTGAGGCTACTAGTCCTACAGTTTGTGGCTGAAATCACATTCCTCCTTCTGAATAAATAAACACACCCACTGACCAAAGGCAGCCCAGGACAATCCAGAAGGTGCCAGACCTAGGTGATGCTGAGTAACCAGAATTGCATTTCAGACTCAGCAGGAAGTCGGGGGGGGGGGCGGTAGTGGGGCTGACTGGCTTCTTAGGTAAAGGCTGCAACGACTGTGCATTCTAAGAACTGCTGAGTCCCAGTACACAACTCACATCCCAGGATGGACAGTGTCCAACAGGCAGTCAGTGCCTGCCTTGGCGGGCTCCCCAGCGAACACCCTGCACTCAGGGGCTGTCCCAGTACTGGCTGGCTATCAAAGGCTACTCCTGCCCTGAGGCTCAGCCAGGGTTTCCGGGGATTGAGATGATGGGGCCAATCAAGGGACTCAAACAGGGAGATGTCATTCACAGGCAACCAGGGGTGGGCATAATTACATGTGGCCGGGGAGCACACTGGGCACCCAAGCATAAGATCATTTCCAGGATACAAGTGGCTACAAGGCTAGACAGAGACCCAACGCCCTGCCCTTCACTCTGCCCATCGGTCATATGCCCTCCACCGGCCTGGGGGATTCAAGACACGAGTGGAGAACCATTATTCACGCTCATAAACCATTTAGAAGTACTTCTTCATGCTGGAGAAACTGAAGGTCCGCAGGGGCACAGCCCAGACTCAGCCAGGAAGAGTACTTCGGGTCCTTCGGACAGTTGGGAACTGGAAAGAGCTATCTCCCATGAAGGATGAGGGTTGGAGCATCAGAGGACTCAAGATCAGCAGCCTAGAGCAGGGCTTCCGTGTAGGAGGCAGAGTGGCCAGCGTAGGGGGCTGACCAGGAACGTGCTAGGGAGCCTGGGCGGGAACTGTCAGTGAGACCAGAGGCAAAGGAGCCACCCTCAACGGGTCCCCAGCCCAGCCCTGGAATGTCCCTCTCCTTCCCATCTCTCCGCCCTTGCAGAAAAGCCGAACCCTGCTGGGCAGGGCCTCCTTGGAGACCCCACCCGCCCCGCCCCGGGCAGCACCGCCCCCCCACGTGGCCGCCGCCGGGCGGGGCCGCACCTCCCCTTCCTCCCTCCCGCCCTGCCCGGCCCGCGAGCGCGGTTAGACCGTGGGGAAAGCAGCCGCGGGGCCGCCGCCCGCAGCTCCAGACGTGCGGGCGCCTGGAGAGAGGATCCTCTGCATCACCTCTCGCTGCGCCCCCGCCCGGTAAGTCTGAGGCTTCGGGCTAGTCTGGGATTCAGAGGGAAACTGAGTCTGGGGGCAGTGAAGGAAAGATTGGGATTGAGGAGAGGGCCCCGAGCTGCCGCGTGTGCATCAAGGTAGCCAAGAATGCGGTCCCGCGCTCTCAGCCCTAGACTACCGGCTGGGGTGGGTAACACTCACTGCCTGCAGGGTGTTTGCCCAGGGTCTGCCTGGAGGAGTTTCCCCCACCTTGCGGCCGGCTACCACATCCTGACCATGAATCAGCCACAGTTGAGAAAATAAACTTCAACTGGAGGTCGGCCTCCAGGGTAGCACAGTGTGGGGCTTGCATCCCCGCCCTGATGCTAGCCTCTAAAGATGCCCAACAGTGGAATAACGCAGGCCCTTACACCCCATTTGCCGAACTAAGGGAGTGACACAGCTCTGTTTCTTGTGGCAACTGCTGTCAACCCCCATCCTGGGCAAGGATGCTGGTGATGAAGGTGATCTTAATAGGAAAGCTGAGTGACCCCCGACTATGCCTTGGTGGACTCCCCAGAGGATCGTGGGGGTGGAGAGGGGTCTATAGACCTGTCTGTCAAGGCCTCTAAACACCCAGAACCCCATGTCACATAAAGGCAGATTGGGCGCACTGGGAGTCCGTGGCAAAAATTGCCCTGATCCTGTCTGGGCTTCCCAGGTCAGTGCATCCATTCCAACACCTGCACACCCACGCTGAAGCTAGAGTTGGGAAGCGCCTTCTCAATAGTCCTCCGTGGCGTTTGCCTTCTCTGGGCTGCAGTTTCTTCACCTATGCCTGAAGGGTGGGGACAGTGGCTCACACATCAGCAAACATCTAGATGTCTTCAGGATGTCACCCAGGGCAGGGAGCATTTGGGGAGCAGACACTTGTAGCAAAAATGGGTGTTTGTTCCAAGGCTAGGGACTGGGATTTCTCTGGTTGGCTCAGGGGCAGCTGTTCAAGTTGACCCAGCAGGGTCCTCCTAGGACCAGGTAGGAGTTGGCCCTGCCGGGTTCTACCTTCCCTAGACGTCTAGCTCCAGTCCAGCACTACCAAAAAGGACCACCCGCCACCACCCTACCCGAGCAAGGTGCCAGCAAGGGCCCTGCTCCTGAACAGCAATGAGTTAACCTTCAGGTGAGGCCCCTCGCTCTGTGGGAGTGCTGATGGCTGTCGAGCTAATTGCACACATCTCCCTGTGCTAGGTCCTGAAAGCACCTACCTTAAATAGATTTGTTCACCTTCTACCAAAGTGCACTTGTTACAGAGGGGAAAGTTTCCAGGCTCATGGAAGCCGTTGGGGGAGGCAGGGGAGTTGCTGGATGGTGGGTGCAGGCAGGTGCCACCTGTGGGTGCAGCCAGGCTGCTGCTGGCCCATTCTGGGCAGGGGTGGCGGCGTTCTCTGGACTCGGTGAGGGTGCTAGTGTGTTGGCTCCCGCGGTCTGAAAGACAGTACCAGACTCAGGGCCCTACCTCTGTCTTGCATACAGCAAGTGTCTAATAGGTGCATAGTTCCTCAGCCAGTGGACTTCCTGTGTTGGAGAGGGCATGCCTGCCTCTTTCTAGAGTGAGCTTCAGAGTCGATGTCCATGGGGCTGTCCCCTGGGGCCTTAAGAGAGGTGGTCTGCGGAGCATCTGGTGTGGATGGGGAGAAAGGACTCCCTACCGCTGGAGCTGTGAGGTGGGCCCTCCCTCTCCTGCAGCCTTCAGCCCGGTAGCCTGACCTAAGTGAAGACAGTCTTGTTGAGAAAGTTCAGACAGCCCGGGCCTTGAGCCAAAGTAGGATCTGTTCAGAGCTACCCACCTGCCCCGCACCCAGCACATGTCACCTCCCGCTGTACAGGAACTGGGTAGGGGAAGGTGCCAGCTGCGCCTGTGTCCCCTTGTGCCCCCATTGGAACAGGGCAGGGGCTGATCGGCGTCTCTCCTCTGTTGGGGCCTCCTCTATGATCCCGCAAGCGCTGGCCCCAAACCCTGCTTTCCTTATTTCTCAGTCTGTGTGCTAAGAGCAGACAAGCCGAGGGCTGGTGGGACCCATCTGGTCCCTTGGCTCTCACTCGGTTTGGAGAGTGTGAGCTACTATATAGTCTGACTTAGAATGCCTGCACTGTAGGCATCAAGGTGGTACCCTGCCATATGCCACACAAAGTCCTCTTACCTCCCTCTCCATCATTATGGAGTTCTGAGGATGGAGCCCTAATATGTGGCCTTCATCCTGGTGGCCTGACCACCAGGTGGTCAAGTAGTCACCACAGGGGAGCATCTCAGGCCTGGGCACTGCAGCCCAGAGAGTCGGACAGCCTTGTCCTGGTCAGGTAGTCCCTGCTGGGTCACCTTCTACCCTCCCTCTCCTGTAGGAACGATAATAGGACCTGCTGCCCCAGACCCCTGGGGCCTGGGCTCATCCGGCACTGGTAGATGAAATAGGGTGTGGCTGAGGTGGGTGTCATAGTTAGGGTTCCTATTGCTGTGATAAAACATCATGAGCAAAAAACAACCAGAGGAGAAAAGGTTTATCTCATCTTACAACTCCCAGGCCATACTCCATCACTGAGGGAAGTCAGGGCAGGAACTCAAGGCAGGAACTGAGGCAGAAGCCCGGAGGGTGCTGCTTACTGGCTTGCTCCTATGACTCCTCAGCCTGCTTTCTTATGGTACCCAGGACCACCTCCCCAGAGATGGCACCGCCCCCTGTGGGCTGGGCCTACCCACATCAGTCACTAAGTCAAGAATGTGCCCTGTAGACATGCCCACAGGCGACCTGATGCCGGCGTTTTTTTTCTCAGTTGAAGATGCCCTTCCCAGATAACTCAAGCTTGTGTCCAGCTGACTACAAACCAGCCAGGGCAGAGGGCGTGTCCTGCAGCCCGGGACCCTTCACCGCTCTTTGAGGACAGGCGGGCCACTCCGGCTTTCCTGTCCCACCTCGCTATGGCTTTCCTTTCTGTACGAAGCAGACAGAGCAGAGGAGGGAATGGGACAGAAGAGGTCAGGTGGCCTCCGCCGCTCTCCTGCCTCTGGCTCACTTCTGTTGCATGTGGACTCCTGGACGGGCCATTAAATGGGCTTGAGGAGAGCAGGCTGATCCCCTGCCGAGGCCTTGGCAGAGTCAGAGTACCAGCCCCAGCCTGTTCTGTCTCAGCACTCCACGTGTTTGCAGAGCTGGACTTGGGCACAGCATCCCAGATCTACATGGGTACTGTGTTCCCATGGGCTCCGCCTCACCAGCATGTGTGGCCTGCGCTGACAGAGTTCAGGCTGATCGAGGTCTGGGTGTGAGGATGGGAAACTCAGGAAACTCACATGAAGGAAGGGAGCCAACATCATAGCCAGGCACTAGGCCAGCCCAGGGCCCAGGGGGTCAGGAGGGACACACGCCCCAGCATACCCGGCCGGTTGTAAGCAGAGGCTAGCCCAGGACCCCAAACCAGGACCATCTCGCATAGTCTCCACCGGCACTGAGAGGGATGATGGTCCTTGCGGGTGGTGGGTGTGGCCTGGAAGCCACTTGGATGCTTCCAAGCTTTGTAAAAACGAACTGGTATATGTGACTCAACCTCCCAGCCTGCTAGTCCGGGCCCCCTGAAACCCTGGGCTGTGGTCTCCACGTGTAAACTCACTCCCTCGTCATCCCGTGTCCTCATTCCCCGCTGCAGGCAAAGCTCTCCGGCTGCCTGTGCCCACAGCAGGGAGGTAGGCATCTATCTCTTCCCCCCTGGCCTGGGCTGGGAGGAGGGTGCTACCCATCCCATGCCCCTCTCTGCCTTACGTCGTGTACAAGTCTCTCTCTCTCTCTCTCTCTCTCTCTCTCTCTCTCTCTCTCTCTCTCTCTCTCTCTCTCTCTCTCTCGGGGACACCCACACAGAGGGCCCAGGCTGTGGAGGAGTGGGGACTGGATGCTGGAGGTTGCAGCTGGTCGAAGGGAGATGGACTGTCTCACTAAGAGGGATGGGAGGTCACCTCTGAGTGAAGGGCAAGCGATGGAGCTTGCAGGCCTGATGGCTGTCATACAGACAGTGCTGGTTCAGCCAGTCCATGCTGAGTGTCCAGGCTCCCTGGTGACCATCCTGGCCGCCGTACAAATGAGAAAACCCAATCCAGAGTGGGCTGGCTCTTGCAGGCACCTGGTGTCCTCATTTCCCAGCCGGCACTGTGAGCAAAGCGTAGGACCAAGGCCGAGGATCTTGCTCGCCCGGTTGGGCCTGATGGGCTCCCCGAGGCCAGGTGTCTGAGGAATGCTGAGCAGGAGCCCTGGAGACTGGGACACTAAGCTAAGCAGATAGACACTGTCAGGGCAGAGCTGGCCCTGTGCAACAGTAACAGTTAAAGCGGCACCAAGTACCTGGTGCGCTTGTCATGGTGTGAAGACAGAAGCAGGAAGTTCATTGGGTTGTCCAAGGAACCAGCAGGTCGGAGGTGAAGCCCTCCTCACTGGGAGGCAGCCTTGTCTTCTCCATAAGCCCCGGCGGGCGACTGCCCCGGGCTGTGCTGGAGGACACACATGCTGACCCTCCCCACTTTTAGTGTGTCTTCCTTCTCCTTGCCCCTGGAAGGGAAGCTTGGAGCTGGACACTGGCGGAGGGCGGGGGCTGTGATCTGGCTTGTGGGTGGACAGCACAGCTTTCCCATCCTGGGCATGGGCGGGCTGAGGCCCAACCCTCCCAGGGCAGACCAGCGCACGACACTGCCACATGAATCCTGAGAGACGTCTGTCTGGCCTTACCCAGGTTGGGAGAGGCCTTGCCAAAAGCATCTGAGGGACCAGAGAGCACATGGGGTCTGTTGGAGGAGGGCTTTCCAAGTCTATCTGAGTTTGGAGACAGAGAACCCAAGCAGATGAGCTCTAGGGTGAGCCTGAGGTCCCCATGGCCACAAACCCGTGAAGGCAGCGCTGCAGACGGAAGGAAGCTGAGTTAGGAGCTGGGATCTGTGGCACATAAGGCCATACCTGTAACCCTGCCTTCCTATCTGTGGAGCCTGGCAGACCCCAGGCCCCGAAGCC